GTGGGTCAGGGATTCAAAACAAAGCCAGGATCGTGCTCCAAGAGCAGCCAAGTGGGCAGAGCTTATTCTGGGTTTGAAAAGAAAACGAAGCAAACTGAACTCCCCACCACTCCACCTCCCACTTCCCATGCACTGATAGACATGTTTCCTCTCTTCCCTTGGCCCCAGCAAGAGATTTGGAAATGAAGTCTTCAGGTTTAATGCCCCAGCCCTTCTCTGCAGCCCTGCAGAGGAAACTGGATAGCAGCATATACACATCTCAGCTTCTCAGGTCTTAAATTTTAATCCTTACTTTTTGAAAGCTTATGTTATATTACCTTATCCTTTGATGAACATTCCTATTCTCTTGCCCTAGAGTCAAACCTGACTTAGCTAATTAGTAAGAGATGACTGCATGGAAGAGCAAAGAACAGTAAGACAAAGTGATGCTCTCTATACTGTCATGACTGCAGACCGAGTCTTTCCTGACCCTGGTTTGCTATGCAGCCAAGTCACCTGGCTACTGTCTCTACCTGGGTAAGATCCACCTCCCTTCAAGACTGGGAAAGCACCACACCAAATCCCACCAGGGAAACAAAAGCTCAGCAAAGTCCCCAAATGCAAGCACAAACCACACAGTCACTGCGGAGCACCCCTAACTCACACAATGCAAATGTGACCCAAGATCTGAGAAACCAGTCTCCCCTGCTTTTCTAATGGTTTTCACAAACACAAATGCCCCGTTTTCTCCAGCTCAGTCCCTACTGCCTTTCATCCTCTCTTGGCCCTTGGCAAGTGCAATACATGGACAGAATCAAGGGATAATCAAGAGCTTTGCTCAGGACAGAGCTGTGGCTCCAATCCTTGGTAGCTAAGCCCTTCTCTAGGGGTAGAGCTGCCCATGATAGCATGGGCATAGATTCTCTCCACCAAAAACAGCTGAGGGCTGGAGGGAGAGCACAGCTGCATCTCCTGCTCATTAGGAGCTACAGCAGATCACTGTCCTTTGCTTGAGGGCTACCTGGGGCAGGAGAAGGTTTGAGAGCCAAGCTCCAACCAAGATGAAATGCCACTGCAATTCCCCTTCCCCCCCAAAAAAAAAAACTATGTTGAGGGTTGGAGTAATGAAAATTGAAGATATCCTGATAATGAGAAGAAAGACATATTACTTCATGCTGTACAAAGGTAGAAGTGCAAGAATTGCTATAAAGAGTCCTCCAGAGCCTGGTGCACCCACAAGGGTGATGGAAAAGGGTCCCTAGCTGGCTGCAGCCCCAGGGCCATGTGAGCAGCACCACAGTATCTCCCTACCTGACCAAGTGCAGGGGGTAGCAGTCCAGCCAGACCAGGAATCAGCTTCATCCAGATGAGAATCTAAGGGCAGAGGCTGAAGGACGACATCTTTCTCTTTGGGGAAAAGGAACTTGCCAGAAGGGCATGGGAAGGGGCTTGTATGATGCACAAAGGGATGGACACAGCCTCACTGGCTGGGAGAGTGGATGAGCTTTGTGGGGAGCGTGGCAAGCAAGTAACTCTTAGCAACTTGTTTGGTTTGTATGACATTTGTTTTTTCTTTCTTTCTTCAAATTTTGTCCAGTACAATTTTTCAACCACCATTTCCTTCTCCTTTTTTTTTTTTTCCATTTGCCACTGTCAAAGTAAGAAGGGAGAGAAGGCTGAAGGGGAAGGAATAGAAAAAATGGGAAGGAAAATAGAAAGGAAATAGAGAATGAAGGAAGAAGAAAAATACATGACCTTTTGGGTTGATTTATTTTTTAACAAACTATTTTCATGGCTTTTCTTTCCAGAAAGAAGGGTGAAAATGGCCTTTTTAATGAAAAAAAAACCAAACCAAACCAAAACAAAACAAAAACAACAAAACAAAACAAAACAAAACAAAAAACAACTGAAAACCCAGAAGTGGTAGTTAGGTGCTTGATGGATGTCTGTCCTTTCTTCTATATGTGGTGTTTTTCCTCTAACCAGGAGGAGCAGCACAGTACAGCCACCTCATAACTTCCTTTGGACTTCAGCTTCAGATGCATTATGTATTTACATGATGGTGGTGCACAGAAAGGGAGCAGCTTCCCATCAGAATCAGAAGTCTCCAGAAGTACCCTCTTCCAGGGGCTGATGGAGACCTGTCAGATCTGTCATATGCAGGCAGCAATGCCCAAAACATTTATATATGTTTAGCAAACCCTTCCTTGGTCTCTCACCATACTTGCATACCGGGGGTCTCACAGCAAAAGCCAGCTATTGGTGCCATTTTCCCCTGTTCCTGGTGTACTTGTGCCACTGAGCTTTCCCTTAAACTTTCTGAGACTCTGTCAATCTCATCCAAAGTGTCTGGATGAAGTTCCTGATCCTGGGAATTTTGTAATTGTTTTCAATGGGGACATCAATACTTCCTCTAATTTTATATTGAATAAAATACGCTGCTTCCCAGCAGAGATGGGATCTGCTCTTGGATGATACGTAAGCAACAGAGGAACTATTTCATGCAGTATTTATTTTCAATAACACAGCCCCATATTTATGCTCAAAATTGAAAAGTTATTTATTTCTATCTAGGATTTTTGCAGCATTATCAGACTACCTCAAAAGAAGGAGTAAACGCACCTCTACAACTTCTCTGACAGCACGACACTGCCTTACATCTTAAAGGCATGGCAACAGGAGTAAAGAGGTTAAATGTCCTACCAAGAGTCGTGCTAATGCCTAAGACTGAACCTGGTTGGCAAGTTCCTGTCCTTTAACTTTCTGTTGCTCAAAGAAGAGAAATTAGGTTTCCTTGTCATAGCAAATACCACCATTTTGATCACAGGTACTGTCAAGGCAGCTGAAGCCCACGCCTGAAACCAAACTTTTTGTACATGGCCCTGCAGCAGCTCCAAGCATGGGGAGGCAGCCACAGAGTGAGCAGGACACTTGTCACCAGTGATTCCTCCAGCTGATCGGGCTGTGCCACCTTGGCACTGCTGCTCCTTGGTGGCAGCCACTGGCTTTTGCTCTGGCTGCATGTGGAGAGGGGCTGCAGGGAGCTGCTCCCCCCCACCAAATCGTGAGCAGCATTGCTGGGAGGGAGAGGAAAAAACACCGAAGTATACTTACTCACCTCTGGATGTTAAGCTCTTCGCACGACTATTGCTGCAATGTGACATTTAGCTTTTCAAAAAATAGAAAATAAAATCAATGGTATCTTATGTGGTGCTGCAGTCCTTTGCAGGAAGCAAGAATGAGGTTTGCCAGGTATCTCTACTTTTTACAGCAAATCGTCTCCAATCAAACAATAATGCCTCAGAGAGGTACAAATGTTGATACTTGACTTTCAGAGTTCATTTCACCAACAGGTTTTAGGTTTTAGTTTTTAAAGGAAAGGAAATTAAATGGGGAAAAGATTGCCCTATGCTAATTCACCAGTTAAACTCACAGGAAACTGCAAAAGATAAGGTTCCCATAGCAATTGGAATAGGTACCGCATTGCACAGATGAGGCCCGATTTTCCCGCTTACTTTCAGCACTGGTGGTTTATCTCCACACAGCACAGGGAAAAGCAATTACTTGGAACGAGGAACAAGGGAAAGGAGCCTGTGGCATCTCTGATTCTTTTTAATGGCCATTTTCTGGCATGGTTTGACGCACCAGCATTGCCACACAGCCACACACTGGCACATGTACCCTCGACCATGTGTGGGGATCCTGCCACTGGCATTTCCTGTGGTCTTAAATGTGAAATTCTGGTCAGCATTCAAGCAGGTTTTGGCAGGGAGTTTTACAGCCCCAGCCTCCATAGGACAGAGCTGTGTGGCATCACACCAAACACTGCATCCGAGCACAACCCCTCCTAGCCATGGCCTCACATTCATGACTACCCTGGCAACAAGAGACCTTTAATTTGACACAATCTGCTTCCAATAAACCCATCTTACCTATTAATTATTGTTTTATTTTGCCTGAGCTTATGATTATTGTGCCTGATTATGTATTTCTTATCCCCTGAGCAGTCATCTGCAGCAAAGCTGAGGGAGCGCAGTCCTTCTCCTGCCCTCACCCCAAAGCTACTCTGCAGCATAGGATCAGGCCCATCAACTCCTTCATTAATTCCTCTACAAAATGCCCCAGCAGTGCAGTTAAATTTGTGAGCATGTGGTCCCCAGGGTCTCATTTCTCCCTGCAGTGCTGCAGCTCATTTTTTTTATCAACTCTTCTGCGACTTTTCCTGCACTCCATGAGTTTTCTGAAAGAATTGTCAAATATTCAGCCATTTCACTCTTGGATGCACTTTCACTGGGCTGTGTAGTTTTGACCAGGAACGAGTCCCCTAGATAATTATTCCTCACCCCCTTTCCTTGAGAGTGCCTTGAGATCCATCATCAATAACTCTGATTACATCAAGCACCCCATCACTCTCCTCCCTTTCAGTGACAACTGAAGACATAGCTACTAACACCGTCGCCTTCTTTTACCGTTGCCTATGAAATGTTCCTGGCTCCCTCTCCCTCATACGTAGGTGACCTAGCAATGCACTCCCCTTTGTCATCCTCCAGCTTCTTATGTACTTCTGAACCAACTTACTTATTCTCTGAGCTAATGCCCCATCGGTTTGTGCCTTTGCATCCCGAACATTGCTCCTGCACACTGTTATTCTCTGCTTTCTCACCACTGTGGTTTTCTTTCCTCCTCCCAACAAGATGACTTTATTTTTTTTTCCTTTTCTTTTTTTTTTTTTTGTTAATACACTGTTTGTCTCTTCCCCACCAATGTCAGTACTGGAGCACACTTCTAACAGAAGCATCTTACTCTCTCCCCAGCTGCTGACAGTGAAAGTTGTCCCCAGGTTGTCAAAAGAAATGCTGTCCCCGGTGGGCACAACCAGCTGGCTGGAAAGGGAAGAATGTACCAGATGCTTCTGTCTCAGACGTGAAGGAGATAAGAGAAGAGCCCAGGAGATAAAAGAAGCCACTTCGGGAAGGAGAGAGCAAATCAGTCCAGGATATGGAGGAGAAGTCCTTGGTGCCTTAGAAGTGGGTTTCTCTCTCTATGATGCTGAGCACCTCCTGGACTTGGAGGGAACATCCGTTGTACTTCAGTTCAGACAAACTCGCCACGTGCTTCTTCGGCTGCGGCAGGTCCTCCGCTGGGGAAATCAGCTGTGCTAGCCGCTGCGGAGAGGAGGTCTCTGTTAATTAAGCTGATAAACAAAGTGACACCCAATAGTGATCCACAACTATTGCTGGGGGCAAAGGCATCTAGAGAGCTAGTGCTCCCAGCTCTCTGCTCCTCTCCCTCCAAATGGCTGTGAAAGGGAGAGGAAGGAGAGCAGGCTCGCTTTAACTGCTCTGTGATGATTACTCCATCTCTGGGCTCAAATCTGGGCTCTGGACAGCATACAGGGCTCCTCACAGGCATGTTTCTAGAAGGAAAAATGCTAGTGATTAGCCCCACAGATATTTTCTGTGGCCAAGGAAAAAACACTCTAGAACCCTTTCTTTTCTCCTATACTAAGTGGCTGTGCTTCCCATTGACTTTGGTGGGAGCTGTGGAGCCTTCCAAATGGTCAGACCATCAGCAAAAGTGCTGAGCATCTCCTGCTATGGTCCAAAACAGGGTGGCAGGTGATAACTACCTCAGGGGCACTTCTCTGGTAAAGCAGTCCCTCCGCAGAGTGTTTTTTGCCCCAAATCCATCCCAGCTCCCCTCTCACAGCCAGGCAGACTGCCACAGCCAGACAGACCCTTAGCTCTCCCTGACCCCTGCAACGCAGGGTTGCTGCAGGTTGCTTCACACATACATAAGCTACTGTTGTCTCAGCTTTGGGGCAATTTATCCTTAAAAAAAGTGCAAAGATCTTGGAGCTTTTTTTGGCAAAATGTGCTGGCCCACAGAGACAGCTACTGTGAATTTCTGGTCTTTCTCATCCACTGTTTGGAGCTCTTCTGGTATCACAACCTTTTATGAGCACCTAGACTCCTTCCAAAGCCAAGTAACATGCAGTGTCCTGTAGCTACCTGCTCAGCTCCATGGTCCAGTGTATGACTTCCCTGCTAAATACCAGCTTTCACAGTTACCAACTTATTCCATCACAAGCTGTTCAGGCCAGTGTTACCTGCTCTTCCCTTGCAGAGACCATCACAAGCAGAGAAAGCAATTCATCCATGACTTGTTGGATTCATTTCAGTGCTTCCACTCCTTGTGAAGTGCCTGCCAGAATCCCAGATTTTGCTCATTTATTCAAAACTATTTGCCCCATGATTTCTGAAATCGGCCTTGGCCTACAGCTGCTCTGTGAGCAGTTCATCATGGGTTTTCAGTCTTTGGAGCTTGAGCTGTCTTAATCAGACACATTAGGAAACAACATTTGTGTTTCTTGGTCAGTCAAGTGTAACAAGAGGAATCATTTTGTTGCAGTGACTGATCACAATTACCAATTACAAACTTGCTTTCAGTGAAAGGTTTGCAATATTCAGTTGAAAGGCACTGTTCCTGGAAGCTTCTGTCTCAGGAAATTAATTCACTACATTTCTGGGTGTGACTGGAAAAAAGGAACAGGTATATTTTGGGAAAACCTGTTTTCAAAACAGGTGCAACTATTCCAGAAGGTATCTTGTGGTTGGCTTTGATTCTCCTCTGAACCAATCCAAATTCAGCAGCCAATACCTTCCTGCATGCCTAAACCACATCCTTTGGAGTTTCTTCATACTAATATAACTGAGAAGTCCCTGGAAATTACAACTAATGTCATTTAAACCAGGGCAAATAGAAAAACCTTCCGTCTGAAATTGGCCTAATCAATTCCTTGGATGTGCTGTAAAATAAGCATTAACACTACTCTCAGCAGCATTTCAGTCCAAGGGCTCAAAGCACTTTGCAACAGGTGAGAAATGTTACCTTTTTAGCAGGCTGGACATGTGGGTAATTACTTCACTAACAGCTCCAAGTCCTCATTTAGAGATATGAAAACTCTGAGCTGCAGGAAGTCTGATATGTTGTCAGTCACCCAGTCAAACTCTGCAAACTGGCCATGGGAAAAGATAGATTCATTACCACTAAATGACCCAGAGCACAGGAGAGGGCTTTAAGAAGTAGGACTCGAGGTCTGAACTTGGAGTAGACCATATCACAGCCACCTTGGCACAGGATACACCTGCTGTTCCTCATATTGTGAGTTGCACAGCTCCCAGCTCCCTCCCAACCTTGTCAACTCTTTATGGCCACCAACAACAACCAGGAGGCCCAAGGGCCAAAGGCAGCCAAACAGGAACTATTTCATAGCATCATAGTTCTCCTTCACCTTCCTGCCTGCGTGGGTTATGACTCTCTCACTGTTTCACTGAAGACTTTCATCACTATCATTCCTATCTAAGCATTGCACTGTGTCTTCTCCTGCATCTGAAATGGGCATTAGTCAGCTCTGCCACAACTCTTGTCACTCCTCCTTAAATCATATTTCCCAATGAGTAAATAAGAGCCCCTGTGGGCACAGATTCATGTTCCCTGAGGCAATGGAGCCAACAAGAACGCCCTGCACCCAGCCCGTCCCTAGCTGTGTTGGCAGGGCAGGTTCCTCCTCCCCAAGACTCCACAATGGGACTGTCACACCTAAACTACAGCCACAGGGAATGTCCCATCCTCTGTTCACCTGCTCACTCCCCCAGCCAGCTGCAGATGAGCCTACAGTCAGTGAGGATGATGAGGGATCAGAAGAGAAATTGTGCAGAAATTTCTATGCACTGTACATCACTCAGGTCTTTCTTCACGGGTCAAGTGGGGTGACATCTCCTAGACATAGTTTGTCCTAGGACAAGGACAAAGTGTCTACAGTGAAAGAGAAAAGGCTTGGGCATGGCACAGGGTAGACTTTACAGCTCTGTAAGCATCTCCTCTTTAATAACCATGGGTAATTTCTTTAAAGAAAATAACATGGTCCTGACCCAGGACTAAAAGGGGAGCAGGAGCAAGGGACAAGAAGTAAAGGCAAAAAAGGTCCTGGTTTTGCACCCGGTTTGCACTGGCATCAGTTGGGAAGAGAAGAGGAGACAAAGGTGATGGCATGCTGTCTTTACTTACATGACCAGCAGGACCTTTTAAAACCATAAACCAAACCAGTTAATCTGTGGCCTCAGGTAGCTCACACTGAGGGGTTCCTCTACCATCCAGCAGAGCCAACATTAGAGATGCTGTGCATATGTCTACATATTGCACTGAGCTTGGTAATGCAACATCTCATGGAAGACTCTGGGCATTTGATGATCACCTTGGGAACTGTACTGAGAACCTCCAAGGCCTCCAAATTGCCAAAAAAAGCTACAGGGTATTCTGGGGAAGGGCCACCCTCACCCCCCCTTGTCTTCTCAGAGGAGAAATGTGCCATGTGCATCTTCTCTGGGGCCCTTCCCATGAGCTGTCTGGGGGAAGAAGCAGCAACTCAATCAGTGACCACAGTCCCAGTACCTGCTTCAGCGTTCCTTTGGTTTTCAGGAGGATGAAGATGGCGTAGAGAGGAATGCAGACCATGGAGGAGAGTGCCATCATCCAGCCCAGCACGTATCCCCAGGGAGGGTACACGTAGGAATTGTTGTATTTCAAGGGTGTGTACTTGATCAGGGAAAACAGGAAGACGGCCTGAGGAGCACAAAACCCAGACATAGCCAGAGCAAAGGGAGCAGCCAAGCCTGGCAGCCTGGCCACACTGCAAGCACTGGCTGGGTGACAGTGGGTGTACTGTCTTGCATGAGCTAGCATGGACCTTGCTAGCTGCAGCGAGCCAGAGCTTGGTGTATGTTGACTGCACAACAGAGTTATCTCAGAGCCAGGTGCAGGTTTCTTCACTGTGTAAAGCCTTCGGGCTTCCTAAAAGTTCAATCTAAGCAAAGTTGGCAGCATCTTTGAGGGTCCAGCATCATTGAAAGAGCAATTTATTCATATCAAAGTCAGAAATTGTTGTTGTCCCTGGAAGAAGCCTTTCAGAAGTACCAAATGGACACAGATTTACCCCTCTTGGAGCTCTCTAGCCACAGAGCTCTCAGATTATTTGGGCTGGATCAGGCTTGTTTTGAAAATTTCTGATATTCAAGTCCTGCTGGAACCCAAGGACAAAGGACTATAAATCTTTTGTAAGCTGTTGCTATAGATCCCATCTGTGTTCTCACTGAGGTCAAAGAAAACAACTGTCAACACCAGATGTAGGAGTAGGGTTTGGCTCAGAAATCGTGTGAAAGTCAGTGCAGCAAGACTGGACATAAACCCAAAATGGGCAAGAACTTGCCTGACATAGGATGCATTTTCTTTAAACATGCTTGTTACAGAAGTTTTAAAAGAGACTTAATAGCATAGAAAGCAAATGGTTGTGAAAAGGTATTTCTAAGCCATAGGAGGTCACAGGAACACAGGCTGAAGCAAGTATTTCAAAACAGGATAATTCTCACTGGTCATCTATTCAGAAGTAATTTGACCAAGATTCTTCAGATTTTGAGGATACATTTCCCTTTGCCTTCACAGTAAACAAGTGGCTTTTCAGGCTCAATTAATTTTCCAGGCAAAAGATAAGCTTTCACAAAGGAAATAAATTGCCGCCACAGCAATTCAAACTGTTTTCAAACAGTTTGAAAAAATTACAGCAGCACCTTGAAGATGAATCAACCTTTTCAACTGAGAACCCAGGGACCCAGAATAATATGCCATGTTGTCGTAATTGCACTTACCAAGCACAGACCTGGGGTGAACACCAGCCAGCATATCTTGATCAAGGGCCATGGCCGGAAACCAATCATGTCCTCAATGTTGTCGTAGAATCGGTTGGCACCTTGGCCACCAGCCAGCACAGAGGCAAAGACAGAGGTCAGATTACTGTTGTTTCCTTGAACCACTATTCACATCAGAGCCCAACTTTCTTTATCCTCAGTGTTTACTCCTGGCAAAAACACAGCTATCCTAATAGTATAACAGCTGGAAATGGGCTTTTGTGACATTGAAAAGGCTCATCTGTGACTAAATACAGATGGAAGTTTTTAACTTCATGCCTTAGGTTATCAGAAAGCCTAACACAGAAACAATGCCCAGTCCCTCAGACTGCAATTCAAATTCTGGTGGAAACCACATTTTCCATCTGTAAGTGCTGCTGCACTGTCCAATGGGAGCTGTCTTGTGGGTGCCTGACCTCCTTCTTGCCCTCTCACTACTTTAACTTACTAGGTTTTGTTGTTCACAGTATGTGGGACCCACACAGTACACCAGAGTGGAATATACCTCTGAAAAGCATCTGAAAGTCCTGCCACTGGCCAGACCCTAACCATTGACTCTTCCCAGCCCGTAGCACAAAGAGGAAATGTATGCAATGGTATATAGAAGAGATGACATAATGCAGATGGATTTCAGCAGACCTTGTAATAAGCTCTAGGATGTCTTCAAGGATCAAGCAGCTAATATTGGCCAGAAAGAGATGTAAAATGAAGAAGAATAAAAAAGTCATTCGTAAGAAGTCCTAACATCATCTTTATTAGAGCTAACCAGAGGTACCATACCAGACTGCCTCAAGTAATACATGGCAACAATATTAGAAAAAAAAAATTGAGCTAGCCTGTCCAGAAAAAGGGTTACCAGTTAAGCACCACTAGGATGAAACAATACCATATTTGTCTTACTGAAATTTTATCATAGTGCTTAGTTGATAAAGGGCTCTGGCTTTCAGGGTACTCATCCAGCTGTGAACTCAGGGTCATGCCACAGTTCCCACCTGTAAGTGTGATGAGAACTTGCTTCTTTGTGTCTTAACACCAGAATGCTGGGCTGGGCTAAATATATGCCTAGATGACTGGCCACCCTTGGGAGTGTTTGGAGTTTGGTGGGGTTTATTTTGGTTTTGATTTTCTATGTCTTAGAATTAAGTTCTGTTATGTTTCTTTTAAATATATGAATTATACAAAAGCACATTATGTGTGCTTTTCCATTTTGTAATTCTTTGCATTATTTTCTATATCCCATGCCTAATATTTACAAGAAAGCTCTTTTATACACAGCTTTTTGAAGTGTTTAGGCTGGGGGGGCCAGATTCTTTGAACACCTCATGGTTCCCGTCTTGAGTTGGCAAGTTAACAAGTAGCCTCAGGCAAAGACAACAAGCAGTGACATATCAAGGAACATGCAGATTTGTGTGAGAGCTCAGCCTACACCAAAGAACAGAACCCTAAAAACTCCGCACTGTAAATATCATGAGGCTTCAGATAGCATTTCTGAAAATATACTGGGAATGAAAGGGAGATGGTAGAATTTTTTTTTTCCAAAAAGCCAAAATCTTCCACATAGTGGAAAAAAAAGGAGAGAGAGATAAATTATGTGAGTTGCAGTTTAGAATATGAGCATAGCGCAGTCTCTCATACCACACAGTGTTTCCACAGAAACACCATGATGTCAAACACATGACAGATAAATTCATTCGTAATACAACTTTGTGAAAGACAGAGTTTCACTGCAAATTTGGATCTAGAATCTAGTGGAAGAGACACAGCAATTAAAGAAATATAAAGATGTCAAACAAAAGGAAGGACACAGCAGATATCCATCCTCCACCAAGAAAACAGACCAAAACTTACTTTGGTAGTTATGGTGTGCCTCCACCTGTCCTTATCCCTATTCCCTGTAGTACAATCAGCAGGTCCTGCATTTCCAGAGCCATTGTGGCAGTCAGTAGGTGATGTGGTGGAACACAATGGGACCTGACATGAACATCCTCAGAGAGTATATGAACAGGAGGCTTTACTTGCTCTACATTTCTCAGGCAGATGAAAAACTAATAAAGCTTAAGAAGCCATCAGTTCAATCACTCAACATTGGCTTTTTGAGCAAATTAGAAGCTGGAGGATGTGTGCAGTCCCCCTTCCTTCCTAGCACATTAGAAAGATTAGATAAAGCTTCTGCAGAGAAAGCCATAAAGTTCTCCTCAAAGAAATTTTTGTTGGAATTAATAAAGATGTTTGCTGTTATCCCCAGTATCCCAAGACAAGGAAGATGATACGCAGGCACAGACAGTTATATGTGCACGCTAGTACACGGTTGGGTGAAGAATGGATTAAGAGCAGTGCTGAGGAGAAGGACATAGGGGTGTTGGTTGATGAAAAGCTCAACATGAGCGGGCAGTGTGCGCTTGCAGCCCAGAACGCAAATCATATCCTGGGCTGCATCAAAAGAAGTGTGGCCAGCAGGGCAAGGGAGGTGATTCTCCTTTTTTAATCTACTTTGCTCTCATGAGACTCTACCTGGAGTACTTCATTGAGCTCTGGGGACTCCAGCATAAGAAGGACATAAACCGGTTGGAGTGAGTCCAGAGAAGGACCACAAAGATGAACAGAGGGCTGGAGGACCTCTCTTACCAGCCTGGAGAAGAGAAGGCTCCAGGGAGACCTTATAGCAGCTTTCCAGTACCTGAAAGGGGCCTAAAAATAGCTGGAGAAGGACTTTTTACAAAGGCAAGTAGTGATAGGATGAGAGGGAATGGCCTCAAACTGAAAGAAGATAGATTTAAATTATACATTAGGAAGAAATTCTTTGAGAGTAGTGAGAGACTGGCACAGGTTGCCCAAGGAAGCTGTGGATGCCCCCTCCCTGGAAGTGTTCAAGGCCAGCTTGGACAGGGGTTTGGACAACCTGGTCTGGTGGGAGGTGTCCCTGCCCCTGGCAGAGGGGTTGGACCAGATGATATTTAAGGTCCCTTCCAATCCAAACCATGTTACGGTTCTTCGATAGTACCACTTTTCTTGTGCTGACCAGTCCTGTATACTTTCAAAGATGTTGCATACTCTTCTGACAAATCACTTAATTTTGTTACATAAATTAATGGGAATAATTTGAACCCAACTACAGATTTGCTTACATCCTTATGTCTTGTCCTTATGGACCCCTTCTCATTTTATGTAGTGTGTAACAACTGCAAACTGAAAGAGACAAAGATTATTTTTCCCCCACAATATCCACAGTGAGTTTCTCAGATCTGCTAGTTTGGCATCTATTAAAAAGCCTATCCTTTCAAATAATTTCTTCCAAGCTGCATTTATTTGCATTCACCTATACTGAATTTAATCCATGAGATTTCAATAGGTGACGACCCTGGCTTTATGCCATAGTGCTGAGTTTGTATCTGCTCCCTTCCTGTCCCAAACCTGCAGCGTCAACACCTGCACCAAATCTGTGCAAAATGCCAGTTGTGGCACTGCAACAACTGCACACCCTTTGGGTACCAGGTGCACAGAGCAGGCCCCTTACAGTCCATAAATAAGTAAGATTGCCTGTAGCTGGTGCTTGAGAAAGGATAAAGCCCAGGCAGCCAGGATCCAGGCAGAAGGAAGCTTCCTCTTCTGGTAGCCACACCACATGTGAGCAAGAGAGCGAGAGAAAGATTTATACCAGCACAACACAGATTCACCCTCAGGCCACTCACAGGTGTCAGCTGGCATTAGTTTGCTTTAGCTTTGTAAACAGTCCTAATGGTTTCAGCCCCAGCTTTCCTGCAGTGATGGAGGCACTCGTTTTCTCCTGGAACAGCTAATCCTGCTGTGACTGCCTGGAAAATATCCTCCCTGCAGCACGTTTTGGTAGCATCATATTGCGAATTCCAACACTCAAAACCCATGCCTGCTTATATGAGGGCTGCCTATCTCAAAGTGAAGGTGGAGAGAGGAGAAGGGGAAAAACAAACAAACAAAAAACCCCCCAAAAAACCCCAACTCTGCAGCACTCCCGTCTAGGGAATATGATCAGCAGGTCCAATGCTGGTCAATCTCTTCACAGGCAGAGAGCAGTACACGAGGAAATCCTCAGATCTTTGTGAGAGCAGCTGCCTGGCAGCAGAGAGAAGCTGCCAAGTGGTGGGTGGTTGGCGTACGTGCTGGGAGAGGGGAAACTCAGAACGCATATTTGTGTTAGCAAAAATGCTGTAATTCTTCACAGTGGAAGCAAGAGGTTCAGCCCTGCCAATTCTGAAGCTGAGGGGAAAAAAAGTTACTTGGTATCAGGCACCTTTTTTTCCACTAAGATGCCTCACCTTGGTCCTCTGACTACATTTCAGACCAGAATCAGCACAATAGATGCAAAGCAGACCATCAAGAGGGTAAAATCCCACTGTGTGAAGTGGGGCAAATGAACCCATGGTGGTGAGGGAAAGGGCCATTTCTCAGTCCCCGGTTGCTCCATCCCCCTTCCATGCTGCTGGGGCAGCATCACTTCTGTTGCTGCTCATTGTTTGCCACTCTTCTACTTCATGGATCATCAGAAAAGGCATGTGGCCTGTGTGACCATAAAAATGGCAAGGGTATGCTATACGTTAAAGCATAATTCAGTTTAATGTAATGGAGGAGCATGGTGAGGACGAAGTCCTGATACAGATGGATGGGAATCGCCATTTCCTTGTAAATCCCACAGGGACTGGGTAAAAGGTGACTCTAAAATAAAATCTGGCCAGGGTCTGGTATTGCAAGATTTCAGGTGAGCTTCTTTTGCAGGACATCTCTCTAGAATAAATCTCTCTTATGGATCTGAAAAGAGAAGGTTCCAGGGGGACCTTATAGTGACCTTTGAATACCTGAAAGGTGCCTATAAGAAACCTGGAGAAGGGCTGTTCACTAGGACATGTAGCAATAGAAGGAGGGATAGTGGTTTTAAACTAGGTAAGGGTAAATTTAGGTTGGATGTTAGGAAGAAGTTCTTCAGTATGAGAGTGATAGCTCACTGGAACAGGTTGCCCAGAAAGGTGGTGGAGGCCCCATCCCTGGAGATATTCAAGTTCAGGCTTGATGGGGCTCTGAGCAATCTGATCTAGTAACATTGTCCCTGCTCACTGCAGAGAGGTTGTAGTAGATGATTTTTAAAGGTCCTTTCCAAACCAATACATTCTATGATTCTATGATCTGCTCCTCTTACATTCCCCAGAGGTCAAGCCCAAGGAGCTGAACCTGTTACCATTTCAGTAAGAAAGGGGTCCATCCAGACTAGCAACTGACTCCTGCTGTACATAAAACATTTGGAGAAACTGAAAACCCCTTCGTCAGCAGCAGTGCTACAGCAAATGCAACCTCTATAGCACTGTGAGCACCAGAGGGAGCACACAGGGACTGACTGTTCACTATCTGTTCTAAAATAAGAAAAAGGTGACACTAAATGATATTAGCAGGTGGCAGATTCAAAACAAGGAAAGACAGTGGCCCTTCACACAACACCTGACAAAGCCATGGAGCACTTTGCTGCAGCATTTTTTGGACAATAAATGTTAACTTGAGTCAACAGAAGTTAACAGAAGATAAATAAATAGATTCTACTTCTGGCTCTGGAAATGCCTGGGCAACAAGCTAAGTATTGCATCTGGCTCCAGGACCCCCAGCACAAGAAAGACGTGGACCTGTTACAGTGGGTCCAGAGAAGGGCCATCAAAATGATCAAAGGTCTGGAACACCTCCCCTATGAGGACTGGCTGAGAGAGTTGGGGTTGTTCAGTCTAGAGAAGAGAAGGCTCCAGGGAGACCTTGTTGCAACATTTCAATATATAAAGGGGGTTTGTAAGACACAGAGAGGCTTTTTACTAGGGCTTGCAGTGACAGGACAAGGGGTAACAGTTTTAAACTGAAAGAGAGTAGAGTAGATTTAGTTGGATATAAGGAAGAGTTTTTTTACTATGAGGGTGCTGAGACACTGGAACAGGCTGCCTAGAGAACTTGTGGATGTACTATAGTTGCAAGTGTTCAAGATCAGGTTGGATGGGACTTTGAGCAACCCGATCTACTGAAAGATGTCCCTGCCCATGGCAGGGGGGTGTGGACTACATGACGTTTAAAGGTCCCTTCCAACCAAAACAATTCTATGCTTCTGTAATAAGTTGTTAGAAGCTGGGAGAACATTCACAGAAAGTATAATTGCTAACTTTTCTTCTGTTATACTCCTTCCTGAATATCCACTTCTGGCCATTGCAAGAGACAACATGATGGTCATGCCTGCAATCTTTTCCTTAGGTTAGGATGGCCATGCTACTTGGTGTAGCTAGAAGATAGAAGATGCGTGATTGTGGGATGTTGAGGGTCTGGTCTAAGGTGGCATCTGCTAGAGCTTCGCACAATCCTTACAAGTACTGAGCTCCTGTAGCTCCATGAAGCTAGGAGAAGAGAGCAGCTGCTCTGCATCACACACAACTAGATCCTTTGCCCAAAAACCACCAGCCTTTTGTGAGCATCAGGGAGATTAACTGCATCCTGTGTGCTCAGGCACCATTCAGCATGGAAGAGATCTCCCATAAGATAACACATGATGCTCTTACTGCACAGACTGACAAACAGTTGGTTTCCTTCTGATAGTTTTTGGAGCTGTTTCACCCAGCTCCTAAGTAGTTGCGTTACAAACTTCACCGAGAGCCAAAGCAGTCTCCCTTGTTTCGATTACGAAATGGCCATGCAAACAGGAAGCATAAATCATCACAGAAGTAAGACACAAGTCTGCAGCCCAGCACTTTGTGTTAAATTCACTGAGAGGACCAAACTAAAGACACAATGTAAGCAGAAAGGAACAGAAGCCAAAGAACAGCAGTCACTCTTCCATAGCTGATTTTCTAATTCAAAGGGCAGATGGGAAGAGCAGCAAAGTAGTTCAACATAAGGAAGGTTCAGAGAGAGAAAAACCATTCATACTCTAAATGTGGAGGAATTAAACATTTCAAGGATACACAATGGAAACCAGACAAGAAAGAGGCATTTCTTTGCCCCCTAAGGATCTATTCTGTCCACTCCCACCTCTCAACCCCCCATCCTTGCCTTGAGAAAGAGCAACACAGGTTTTTGTTCTCCACTTACCATACACCCATCCTACAGAGATTACTTCAAAAATGGCCAGGAAGAGCAAGCATGTTCCACTGGCAGCATAGTAGTCAAAGAGCTGGAAGATGTACATGCCACCCTGTTGAAGAGGTAGAGAAGAGAGGGTCATGGCAGGACTGCTCCATATGAGGGGAAAAAGGACTGAGGCAAGCAGAATAGCAGCATAAACACTGCACCTAGAGCAAATAAGAGATGGAGAAGAGCCTTCTCCTGGGGCTGTCTCCACTCTGTCCCAAAAAGCCAATGCCCATTTTATGATACTGCTGGACTAGACTGGTTTCTGTGTCCATAGGAACAGGAGGTGTGTGGCTCCTCTGATGCCTCTGCCTTCAAGCTGAGCCCTGCATAGTTGCTATCAGCTAATTCTACAGGTCAGTGGATGACTCATCTCTCATAATCTCATATGTTTTCTCAAAGAGAAAGCTCCTCCAATACAAGTCAACCAGGTGCTTTCCAACAGTGCTGAAGGGCTGTAGACACTGCACACAGAGGCAACACAGAGGAGTGCTAAGACCCTTGCTCAAGTGTGTGGTATGCACGCACAGCAAGGCACACCACTGTGCAGGAAGAGGTGCTTGGCTATTAGCTGCAGAGCAGACAAACACCACAGCCCTGCATAGTATAGCAGCTACATAGCATCGCACCAACACAGCTCTGCTTCTTCTGGTCCTGAGGATCACAGGCTCACCACTGCCTCAGGCAGGGTTACGGCACAGCCATTACCCCCAGTCTCCCCTCCTGCTGTTCTGTTTCTTGTGGAAAGCAGTCAGCAAATGATTGCTGCCCTTAGAAGAGCTCCTGCTTGTGCAGCTCAGCTTGTTTTAGCCACCAGACCTGGAATTTGCACAAAGCTGTGTGTCAGGCTGGGCTGCAGGACCGTCTCTCTGGAAAGCTCAGTTATGCAGTGAGTACACTGGCATCACACAGGGTAAAATCAGCACCGGCTGTGAGAGGCATCAGCTAATGCGTTAGAAATGAAGGATAATTAACAGCATCAAAGACGAGCTTGTTGTCTCTACCCACTCCTACAGAGCAGTCTAGCAGGGTTTCTGGTGCTTGACTGTATACCCCAGCTACTTCTTCCTTACCTCAGTGACCAGCAATAAACCAAGCAGGTAGCATACAACTGCAAGGGCCAGGATCAACAGTTCCCGACGTCCCTTCTTCCGAAACACTCCTGGGAACATGTCAATGAGAGCTGTCACCATGCTTTCCACACAGACGAACTGCAGAAGAAGACAGGTCAGAAAAATCAGTGTCTCCCCTTCCCTAAGCACACACTCCCTCTCACTGTCCTTTTTTCCTTTTCCTTATTTTTTGTTTTCTTGTTTTGTCTGTCTTGCTTCCACCAAGGGCCAGATGTGACTGCTAGGGACCTAAACACAGCTTAGTGTATTGGTGAGGTCTCATCTGGAGCTGCAAACCAAAGGGGATAAAAGTACAGCAACATGTTAGGGGGATGAACTTTGAGATGTGCAAGAAATTGCCTAAAACCCAATAGAACATGCTGCTGCACAGCAGGAGCAACCAAGGGATGGGGAGACAAGGGGCAGATTGCACCTCAGGCCAGGCAAGAAAGCACCTGAGATGGCATAAGGAATCCTTGTGACAGAGGGGAGCTCCCCCTGCTACCATGAATCTAAAGGGAGCCAAGTCACTTTAGATTTAGGTTTGATATTTGGAAGAAATTCTTTACTGTGAGAGTAAATGAGACACTGGCACAGGTTGCCCAGGGAAGCTGTGGATGCCCCCTCCCTGGAAGTGTTCAAGGCCAGGTTGGACAGGGCTTTGAGCAGCCTGATTTGGTCAGAGGTGTCCCTGCCCATGGCAGGGAGGTTGGACCAGATGATCTTTAAGGTTCCTTCCAACCCAAACTATTCTATGATTCTATGATGACTGTGAGGGCACAGCTCAGCTCTAACATCAGGCACACCTCTCATATAGTCCGACTGACTGCAAAATATGCTATGACTGCATGGGACATCCCAGTAGAGTGGGCAGCCAGGGGTCCCACAGTTGAATTGCTGACTTTTGGAGCTGACCATGGGGCAGGATGCCTGCTTATCATCGTGGCTTTTGGTCCTGCAGTGTACTTCACCTATGGGGTACGTAAGAGAACATCAGCCACTGCTGGGACAGGCCAGTCAACATGAAGCAAAGCTGTAAGCGAGTTGAGGCAGGAAAGGACCTTTGAGGTATCACCAAAACACATAACTACCTTATCCTTTTCCATGGCCTTGTGGCATGCTGAGGGTGGGGACAGGCATCTGGACATTAGATGAGGAGGGGGTGTTTGCTGTACCTGGCTGTCCAGTCCCAAGAAGATCAGCATGAGGAAGAAGAGGCAGGACCAGAGCTGAGACACAGGCATCATTGTTACTGCTGTCGGGTATGCTATGAATGCCAGGCCAGGACCTGCCAACAGACCACAGGGTGACCACACGTGCTCCCCATGCCACCGCCTGCCACCACCGCACTGCAGCACAGAGTGAGCTCACATACTGCTCCAAAGCTCATCTCGCCACGGCTCTCTGCCCACACAGAGCTGAAAGCTGTGTCAGGAGCACTGGTTCTGCAGACCTCACTGCAGAAACCCATAGTGATAGAGGATGTAGGTAACATCATGGACTGCACTTCAGAAAAGTACCCACCCCTTCAGGCTTTCTGTTTTGCCTTAGCTCTGAAATCTCCCAGAAAAACCTACCTGATTCGGCCACTTCTGAAATGGGCACACCCTGCTCCCGAGCCATGAAGCCCAGCACAGAGAAAATGGCAAAGCCAGCAACTAAACTGGTGGCACTGTTCAGGAAGCAGAGCATGATGCAGTCCCTGCAGGGGGGAGAGCAGAGAGAGATGGGTGATTCCTGCAGGAATCATGCTTGTACCAAACTGCCCCAGTCAGACAACATGGACCAAGGAACACCAGTGATGGTCTTGAACTCCCTCAGCAATGAAAAGCTCATAACACAGCCAAAAATCAGCCTACCTATCTTGTACCCCACTGGTTAATAGCTATAGGACTATAAGTGGCACAAAGAGACATAGGACACCACCAGCGACTTGTGAATAGGATGCCACAATGGTATACATAGGGACATGGCAACAAAAAAACTGACAGGCTTCAAGAGAATAAGAAAAATAACAGAGAAAATTAGGAAAATAGCAAATTAGAGAAGGAAAGAGGTTACAAAAGTAAACATAGTCAAGAAAGAAGAGCATCTGAAAGCACAAACATGTACAGGCTCAGCAGGTCTGGTAAAACAAGGACTAATGCGTTATCAAAAATCCTCACCTGACAAGAGCTGTGTCTACACTGTCTTTATTACCTATGCTCAGGTGAAGACTGGAATATGCTATGCCACTTGTCCTGAAATATTTGTGCACTTGCTTCCTGCAAAAATGGGGCACCGGTCTGAGCTGGTTGGGCTGGAAACCCCACACCCCTGAGATCCCATCTGGGCGGCTGTCAGAGCTGACCCACAGCATCAGCTGCTATGGGGCAGTGAGAATACTCAGCACATTCGGGCCACCCAGAGCTAAGCTGCCAGTCCAAGACACTTCAGGCGTTAGAGGAAGGTGTCAGTGCACCGCTCTATTGTTGACTGATACATTTCTGGAGAGCCAGGAACAAGTACTAATTGCCTGACCAACAGTCATGGCCACACCTATTGGAGAACAGAAGAAGACAAGAGATGATCGATGTCTCCTGAGTACCTTTACATTTTCCCATCCATGCTGGAGCAATACATGAAGGAGTAACAAAGTCCCTGGTCCTCAGGGCTGAGTGAAAGGTGTCAGAAATTGTTCTGATGGCTTCACTGAGCTCCCTGTCAGGCCATTGATAAAAGAGATCTGTAATCCAAGAGCAAGGAGGAGGCCAGACAGACTTGATTAATTTCCTTGATAGGATCAAAATGCCACTGGCAGTACATTACCCTGATGGCAGTAAAACATTGGAGGGGACCCAGCTATCATCTTTATACCATCTCCCCTGCCTAGCAAGTGACACCAAAGCCACCCCTGCTCATTCACCCAGTCAAAATAGCCCATTGTTGTCTCCACAGTGGCTGGAGATACTCTCCATCTTAATTCCTCCCCCTCCTCCAGTCTCTCCCATTTTCAAGCTGACTCATGCAGGAGAGCACTACTAAAGCCACTTTCCGGAGCTCCTGTGTTCCCTCAGCCACTCTCCATCCATACACTGAGTCCTTTGCAGCTTCCACACTCTGAGCAGCTTGTTAGTCAAAGCAGCATGACCCAAGGTCTCCCCTGGGAACAGAGCCTGCCTCAGATGCAGCTCTGCGCTGTCTGCCTCTGAGCAAATTTCCAGAAGGGTATGAGGAGTATAGGCTCCTCTTACCTGTAACAGTTGTTGTTGTATTTGTTGTAGCTGCCCAGAGCTGTCAGGCATCCCTGGCAGATGGCATAAGAGAAGAGGATCTGAGTGCCTGCATCCATCCAGACCTGGAACAGAGAAAGTTAGAGGTCTTCAGATCTGGCAACAAAATAAACAAATGACTGCACCTTGTTTAGCAACAACCCCTCCATCCATGCAGAACAAACCCCATGAGATAGAGAGGAGCTCAGTACAGGTAGAAACCAGGATACCTCTCTGCTAAAACTGAGGTATAAGACTGAAAAGGAAAAGTCTCCTGTGGCAACCGTCATGGTGACACCACTTCTCCATCCCACATCTTTGCATTCTGGGCATCCGGTGTGTTGTGGACTGATCTGCAGCCCCGCTCTCACACCCTCTGAGGGAAAGCCCTGAGCTGCAAGTTAGCAGGCAGGCAGGAAAACAGCCCACTTGTCTGTCTGTATGTGTTCCCTCTCACTCTCTTTTTCCACCAAGTAGCCCCTAGCTGCAAACATCCCAGCAGCTGCAATTTGGCAGCCTTCAAAAAATCCCAGCCCAGGCTTTGCTGCCTAAATTCCCACAGAGGTCTCACAGATAGGTGCAGACATGGGAGCCCTATGGGCATGGGTATAGGTGTATATATATATATATAACCTGCTTTACACCAAAACCCCACATTCTGCCTAAACTCAGTAGCAGGAGCTCTCACTCCTGCTATGCTGGGTTGCAGCAGTGTGGAAAGACCACGTCAGCTTTAGTTAGGCTGTGAAAGATCAGGAGGTTTTCAGTGAATAAGCTCTGGCCATTAATAAAACACACACAGCCCCAGCCATCCCCCTGTTATTTATTTTGATATTAAAATGCCATTTACGTTCAGCTGGCTCTTTGCATGCAGCGCACCACAGATTTTGTATTGACAACACATAATTGCATCTGAAAGCCTTTTGGGGGAAGACAGTGTGTTTGGCAGCTGGTTTGGGAGCAGTTGGGGCTTTGGCCATCTGGGAAGATGCGGGAGGTAAACTGAGACTGTGGGTTAAGCATATTGCTTGGCTGCCTCCACAAAGAGATTCAGCAGTGGAATAATTAATAGCTGTGGCATTTAAATACTCTTCTGGGGGGGAGTGGGTCATGCATTAACATCTCCCTGGGATGGCAGAGGCAGCCTGCACAGTGCTGCTGAGCCCACGTGGAAGAGGAAGAAACCTGCTGCTACAGAAAGGTGCTGGAGCAGACATCCCGGGGGATCCTCCAAAGCGGGGTCATGCCACCTGCCCTGCACAAACCCCCAAGGAGGCTGCCCACCTCCCACCAACTTGGGCTACCTTGCAGGTCCTGTGTTTGGCTGCAGCCCTGCCCTAATCCAGACTTGTCCTCCGTGGGTACAGCATCCCTCATGCGGGGAGCAGTTTCCATGAGCTTCATTGGGTGGTGGCAGGGACTGATGTGATCTCTCTGGCCAGGCCCTGACCTGGGCAAGTGGGACTAGTGCTCGGGACAAGTGAAGCGAACCTGCTGCACAGCCCATGCTACATGCATGCATTTGGTCTCTGCAAGCACAGGGGCCCTGCACTCCCTGGGAGGGCCTTGTTGGAGCCAAAGTGCTAGCCAGGCCAGAAAAAAATTAAAAGCAGTAGGTTATTTTCTCCTCCTCAAATATTTTCATTTAAGATCCAGCAAAAACATCTGTTACATGCTGAATATTTTATATACTCTTCTGGTTTTTCCGAGCCCATGAGTGGAAATGACCTAATATGTCCATATGCTGTAGATGCACGACCAAAAAGGCTCTGCTGTGCAGGGGGACTAGACCCCTCTCAGCTCTTTTAAGGAGGTCTCACAGGTTCTCTGGTCTCCCTTCAGAGAAGTCAGCTAGATCCTCAGCTAGTAGCAGATCCAAGGGAGAGGGTGCTGGAAACCTTCCTACGGCCAGCATCTGCTTGACCCCCACCCACCTGCGGGTCCGCCAGCCTGGAGATGTCTGGCTTCAGGTAGAAGATGATCCCCTCGGCAGCACCCGGCAGCGTGACTCCTCGCACCAGTAGAATGATAAGCATCGCATATGGGAAGGTGGCGGTGAAGTAAACAACCTGTGGGCCCAGGGAAAGAAGAGGGGAGAGGGTCAGCAGGGAGGGGGTGCAGGCATCATCTCATCTCATCTGCAGGTCCCCACCCCTGCAAACATCCCTGGACTCTGCTGTTGGCTATAGTGGCTACTGCTAGTGTAGAGGAGGGGTGGGAAAGAAATTAATCAGGGTTACATCTCACCAGTGACTTAGTCAATCTACATTTTGTTCCTCACCCGAGACTCTGCCACTGCCTGGTCTGCTTTTTATTCCTCGCACCAGTCAATGTAATTTACCTGCTCTCAAGCTGTTCTCTTCATCTTTCTAGAGCTGCAGAAGAAATGCAGGTCTCATCCTGTCACCGAATTTTAATGAGTTATTAAAATAATCTTATTTCCAGCAGAAGTTTTCCAAATTAAACAGCAACTTTTGCTGCCAAATTTGAGACATCTCTGAGGGGTCTTGTTTCCAGGGGTGCTCATGCAGCTCACTCTTCCCTTCAATGCCTCTGATCTCACAGGTAAAAAATGGGGGCAACTCAAAGCCCTTAAAGAAAATATAGACCATTATTTTTGTAAAATATTATTTTCATTTCTTCCTGTGTGTGATGTAAATAAATATTACAGTAGAATTAATAATCTCTAATCCATTGCCTAATGTAACTTCTTTTTTTCTATCTGCAAAATATCCATGAGCAACTTGTAACTTCCTAGCATTTATTCATTATTGAAATTCATCCAAGTATTGCGAAGGCTTGTTTACCCTATGGATTCATAGTGAGGGGCCTAAGATTATGGTTTTTTTCAGTTTAGTGATAATTGGTCGAATAAGTCACAGTATGTGGCACTTTTGCTATTCCCTGATTGAATGAGAATGCAAGCGCTTTTGGCACAAGTGCTGAAATCTACCTTCAGAAATCACTTCTGGGGAACATTTATACACATCAGCTGAATGTATAAGGAAAGGAAACATGGAAAAAGCACAAGAGTGGGCAAAATTAATAAAAGAAAAAAGCTTTTAAAGAAAATGAGTCTTTACAGAGTTATTTGAAATTCTTTTCCCAAGGTTGCTATTGTTTCTTTAAGTTTGGACTCCTTAATTCACAGAAGCATAAGCACAAGGGCCTGGCAGGGTTATCCGATTAGAGCAGCCTCTCAGTCAAGCACAACATCTCTGTTTACTCTGCAGCTGTTAAACAAAATTATGCACCTACTCAGAATTCCTGGGACCTCGCTACTGCTTATCCTAATATATAGCCTGTGAGGAAAAAGAAGGAAGGAGCTGATTTTTCTGGCATTGTCCCCGTAAAACTCAAAATGACTACCTGCAGAGAAGACAACTGACCTGTCTGACCTGTGGTATGTCTTGGGACAGAAAAACCCACCGGTGTTGCTGCAACATGTCCATAATACATGGCTGATAAAGAAGTAAGCCCTGTATTCTAAAACTTGTGATGGAAAATTCCTCTGTGGTCCCAGGAAAACCATTCTAGATACTACTGGAAGGGAACCTGGGATGACTTAATTACACTTCCATGCAGATCAAACCCAATCTCAGACCCAGTCTCCCAAGATCAGAATGATACCCCTTGTGAAGATGGCACTGTGGTATCAAATCCAGGGAGCATCAGAGTTTCAAGATTTAAAATGCAGAGCATCCCCTCTCCCTGTAGATGTGGATTCTGGCTTTCCCTCCTTGAGAAAAGGTGGACAGCAGGTCAGTACCAGCAAGCGGCAGAGGCATCAGCACAGACTGGGAGAAACCTAGCAAGCAGAGTGATCTATTGTCTTGCTCTGTTAAAATGGGTGCCCAATGCCATTTTGAGGTGGGAGATGGGATATGACACTGAAACACAAGTGCCTGGTACTGCAGGGAACATCTGCCAATAATAGGGATAGTAATTTGAAGGAATAAGTCTGTTCAGAAATTGGTTCTTCTCCCTTTGCTATTGGGGCATCACATGGATGCCCACAAGACCCAACCCTCATTAATGACCCACCCATCTTATTGCAGCTCCGGGAAGGAAGGAGGTCCCAAACAAGTCAAGGCCATAGCAGTGTCCCTAACACCCAGCACAAGGCATCACATACTCATTCACTCCAGACGGGCAACCAGTCTTCCTGATCTATGGGATCAACATCAGCAGGGAGCATTGGCTCCAGCCTCACTAGCAACATGTGGAAGGTGACTCACTGAGCCAAAAAAATGCAGAGCCAGGAAGAGTACAAAGGAGAGCATAAAGAGACCTCTCCCACCCCAAGTATTTTGCAGGATAAAGAAGCAGGAGAGATTCAGTATCTATTCACTGAGCTGGTTATAGGCAGCAGCTTGCCTATTTTGCTCAAGTGTTAAATTATCGCCGGGGATCGGAAATTTGCCACTGCAGAGCATCTTGTTAAAAACACCAGCAAGCAACACCAGGACAACACAGTGGTGAGTGGACTGTTCCCATCAGACACTGTATCTGCAAGGGAGAAGTTGATCCAAGACTCCCCTCAGTTCCTAGGTCTTTCTCTGCTCTCCCCTCCCTGATTGACCTACTTTTTTATTCTTCCTCTTATGGATCAAACACAACCGGTGTCAATCTGTATAGCACCACCAGGTTTTAGGTTTGACTTTCGTGCTGTGTGTCTCCTGCCTCTACTTGATTAAGAGGGAAAAGAGATTGGAAAGAAATGTTAGATGGGTACAAAGAGGCTTATGGACCAGGAGGACAATCTGCATTCCTACTTTGCCTGTGGACTTGACCCCTTTCCAGATGCAGAAGTAGCAGACGATCCACGCCAGCAGGAGACACAGAGCCAGCTCCCAGCGCACAGTGCCCAGTTTGTGAATACCATCCGTGAGCCCCAGGACTCTCTTCCTGCCAGTGTTGAGGGACAGGGAAAGAAGCATTAACATCACAGACTCCACTCATCTGTATGGACCTTTGCCATATTACCCCATCCAAAGTCATAACAGACTAACTGCAAAACATCTAGCCAGGGCTTCCAGCCATGCAAGTCCTGCCAGCTTTGCCCAGGGCTCCCCTCTCTGTTGTTTCTGCTGATGCTGCTCCACTGCGCTCTGTAGCTGGCCCAAGCCCTCCCACTCTCCAAGCCCATGGCGCTGTGCCCATCAGACTGATGTATCACAAAAGGCCCCACCTGTCCCACATAGCTCCCCCACCCTGGCAGCTGCCCAGCAGACACTACTCAAGCCAAAACAGATCAACAATGCCATCATCACCCTACGGTCACTGCTCTTCCTCTGGCCTCCCTATATACTACAGACACTCTATATACATAGGAGCATAAATGGCCTTTATGATTCCCATGCCCTTCCTTCAGCCTCATTCCTTGAAGACTCACCATATCATGAAGGTGGGCCACAAGAGAGTTCAGCATTGCAGCTCATACAGTTCCCCAGAAGCCCAATCCCACACTTATGATTCCTCTGCAACCCTTTTCTAAACCAGCCCCCACTTCAGGATCCTCTTGCCCTTGTGACCTCTGCAGAAAAAACAACCTGAACAATCATTTCAGAGGGGTCACAGCTCTTATTAAACAGTATGTGCAAAGAATAGGACGGGAGAGGGGTCCAGCAGTGTGCAGACTCTTTTGGCACCCATGGGCACATATAATTATCTATGTGCCCTGCGGTGGCTGCAAGGGACAAAGGACGCTCAGCTCTCTCAGAGGCACTTCAGGAGGCATAATTGGGGAAAAAAAAGTAGTCCTGAAGCTGAGCCCCTGACAGCCTTCTTTTTTATGAGTCTTTCCTCAGTTGAGTGTGAAGGAGAAGTGTGACCCTATCAACCATTTCAGTCTCTCCAGGCTGCAGTGATGACCCTTTCTGGGACACTGCCTGGCCTGCTGCAGCACCCCTCCCTCAGAGGTGTTTTGTTGCCTTCAGCCCTTCGACCCAACCTCCCGAAGCCCCTCTCTGGCATCTCAAGCACATGCCTCAGATCCCTGTTCTCTCGGGATAACCCTGAGCAGCCTGATGGACCACTTCACTTGCACACCAAGCAAGACATGGTGAGAAGAAAGGAAAAGGCAGTTTTGTCCCTTTTTGTTTCACTGTAGAGGACTGTTCAGTCTGCCCTGACCTCTCATGCTTGCTTGCCAACAGTAGCCTGCAGCACCCAACCTGAGTACCCCCTTGATCCTACAGAGACATGCAGCCCTCCACCCCATTACTCCTACAGCTACAGCCTTTGGATGAAAGAGGAGCCTGAACAGAAGGAAAGCGATCACATACTCCCAAAACTCAATCATTGGGGAGGTGGTGTTCGCAGGCAAGGTCTTGTTGTCCAAGCTGGAGTTATTCAGAAAGTCCACACAGAGATCTACGAAAAGAAAAGGAAGCCGATGAGCCAGAGAAATTCTCCAAGGATCCTCTGTGAGGGATGGCCCTTCCCCTCTGTATCCTAACCCTTACTCTGGCAGCACACGGACCTTACACTCTGTGCTATAGAGCACCTCATTAAACTCTTGCATCTCATTAAGCATCTCATTAAACTCTGGCTCTCCCCAGCTACGAATCCCAGTCCAGCAGTAGCCAGAGGGCTTCAGGAACGGGAGAGGGGAAGGAGAGAGCAATTCCCTGCCAAATGGAAACCAGATGGCTGCAAAATATAGATTATTGAGGGAATGGCACTATGAGTAGCCAGGATAGAAAGTCCCATTCTCCTCCCACACCATGCACCATTCCCTCTCCACACACGCCACAGATGCCTTCATATTCCACTCTGCCATCTCCAGCCCTGTCATATAGCACAAAATTACTAAAAACAGAGGAGATGCCATGCATCCAAGAAATGCATCTTTCATTTGGCAAGCAAAACACAATCCACTGGCAAAAATAAGGAGGCCATCTCTGGCTGGGAAGCTTCTGCCTCGCAGGAGAGTATCTGTGGCTTTCATTGCAAACCAACCCATTCTGGGGCAGCTGAAGGAATTATATATACTCCTTAAAAAGCCTGGTTGCCTCTGCTGCAGTGAAGGGGCAGAGTAAGCTATGAGTGAATGGCCCATGGGGTGGAGAAATTTAACACATCATAGAAATGAATCCTCTGACCCAAGAGAAAAAAGGAAGGAACCAAGCTGCCACCAAAGCCCTTTCCAGCCTGGCTTCCCACTGAAAGAAAAACAACCTCTTCAACATGGTAAAAAAGGCCTGTCAAGAACATCAAATGCATGAGTGTTACCTCACATCTACCCCATCTTCCTGGGCACAGCTCAGGTGCCTTGAGTAAAACCAAAGCCAGGTCTTCTCTGCTGGGCACAGTTATGTGAACTGTGGACATCAGGAGATGAGACCTCTGGCCAATGTAATGGTATAGAGGTTTGTATGGATGTGATTAGACCAGGAAAATGGTGCCTTTAGATTTTTGTGTTACTGATTCCTGCACTGGGAGACCTGCACTGGCAAAATCCTCCAGTGCAGGCCCGGTCTGATTGACCTGAAAGCTGAATGAGCAAATGAAACTGTTCAGTACATGGCAGCTGCTGTCCCAGTAATTCTAAAGCAGTGGGCAAAGTAAGGGAATTGTGCAATAAATTCTTGTACCAGAGCTAATGAAAAACTCCTGTCAGATGAGGAGGACTCTATACTGGCTTGAAAACTCTACCAATCCACCTACCTCTCCCATTTGCCAGAAAATGCAGATTTTTCAGTGAAATCTGAACACCCAAAACACCTCCATGTGGAAATAGTTTTACTGTCCCCTGCTGCTAGGCATAGCATCATACCACTTGCTCTTCCTGACACTTGCCCACGGTGAATGAAGACAGGCACCTTTGCAAGAATCCCTAGCCACATTGCAGCTCATGAGAGACTTTTGTCTGAATAAAAAAGGTTTTCTACAAAACCCTCAAAATTTCTGGGACTTGGGAAGGAGCTAGAAGCCAACTAAGGGAAGGTGTACCTGAGTTCCAGGGGTTATTGCAGCTGGCCCATGGCAGCACTGCAGTGAAGGAGCTGAACAAGTAGAAGAGTGCCCAGGACAGGATGACGATGTAGTAGATATTCAGATAGCACTCAATGACTTGTGAGGCATATCCAACTCCTGTGAAGGAAAGCAAAGGAGGTGGGGATGGGACTGTCAACCAACTCCCAACAAGTCAGACTTAACCCAAAATAAAGATGCAGACCACACCACGGTAGAAAAGGTGCAACACCAACCACATGGCTCACTAGAGAATAGGGCAAAATCTACCTCAGCGAAAGAGAAAGCATTTTGTGACTGTGCATTCACACAGGAAACACTGTTGGTATCTCTAGACAGATCTATAGTGGAATAGAAAGAAAACATTTTGCTGATGGGGAAACTTTTTTCTGACCACTACTGCGGCCTCCTGCAGGAAAGCCAGCTCTAGCCTTGAAAGAAAAGAAATGCAAGTGAGTTTCTTTCTTCTGGAAAGAAGCAAAAATTGTTCTTATTGCTGATACACACCACTCAAAAGTATGGTGTCGAGGTAGAAGCGCAGACCCAGGAGCTGAGCTTGGGTCTTGGGTCCTGCTTGTGCCCATCACTTACTGAGATATCAGAAAGGATGTAATTGTATTAGAAGAGTTCAGTTAATTTGTTTAAAACTGATTGACAGTGCCCTTTGAGATAACAGTGCTGTCCACCTCCAGGCCTCGAGCCAGAGTGCTGAAGTCTCCAGTGCAGAAGGTTCTGTACTCCCCAGGGAGTTTCAAATAGCACTGCATGCCAGTGCTTGAGCAAACTAAGCAGGCATTTTATCTCCCTGAAGCGATACAGGTTTCTCTGTCTGCAAAATATGGGTAGTCAGCTCTTTTCTGGATAGGAGAATTGTGAACATATTAATGCCAATAAACATCCTTTCCCAGGGCCCCAGGAGTCCTAGGTCTCATACCTGTGCCTTAAACACAACCCCAGAACATCTCTGGGCTGTCAGACTGGTGGGTGCAGTGTGATGCCCCTGAGTCTGCAAGATGCCAGCCTGCAAATGCTGCCACAGCAGCCCTGGGCACAGCAAAAAGCAAGGAAAGTGCCACGGGCCAGTCAGCCTTCCTCTTGTCTCTTCTCTCTTCAGTATTTGTCGTGGACTCCATGCAGACATTGGTGTATCAACACTTCCCTCCTCTTCCTCCTGCTTGCTGGCCATTCTGCTCTCCTCTCTACCAGGCTCTGAGCATCTCAAAGCAGAGACCATGGCTCAGCTGGACCAGCACAGACCCCAGCCAAAACCACACAACCTCAGCCACCTACAAGGGGTCAGGTCACTGCCCCTGCACACACAGCAGTCACCAGGGGAGATAACAGGGCTGGAAGAGAAAGGGAGGGAGAATAAAAGAGAAAAAAAAAAAGCCCAAACAGAATAACATTACCAAAAAATGCTCTGAGTCACTGACTGTTAGAAAGTGCCGCCAGCAGTTACTGTAATTTGACTCACCTTCAAAGATGGGACAGATCTTCCTCCAGGCTGTCACCCCTCCCTGGCTGGTGTACTGCCCCAGCGCTGTCTCCAGGAAGAACAGGGGGATCCCACAGGTGAAGAGGAAGATGAGGTAAGGGATGAGGAAGGCTCCTGCATAAACAGGTGAGATGTTGCCTCAGAAACCTCTGTAAAACCTTATCCCCACCACCCCTTGCCAGGTACCTGGGGCCACAGCTGGAATCAGCTAGATAAACACAAATTAGTTCTCTGAATTAACTGCGCAATCTCCACTAAAAAACCCAAGGTCTCCAACACCATCATTTCTCAGAAAAAAAATTCAAGCACGGTCTGTCTTGTGCTACTGCAATACTTTTGTGTTTGGTCTTGGCCAAAACCTAGAGGCAAGGATAAAAGAGGAAAGGGGAAATTAAAAAGGGGATTAAAAGAAGAAAGTGCTGGAGAAGTTCTCCCTGCTTCACTCTCCTGACCTCATTCTAGTTTTCAACAGGAGGCAGGCGAAGCAAAAGGAGTCCTTGTTTCACATAACCACATTTGTTCTGCCTTTCCCAGGAGTCACAGCAAAACTCCCACTTGCTCAGAAGACACGAACCTGGAGGCTGGAGACACTCCTTTGTAAGTAATAAATTTACTGAGATATAAATTTGCTTGAGACACATTTCACATCAAATTTGAAAAGCAGTTTGCACCAGAAAAATGGAAACAGGGGAGGGACAACAGAGTATCTTTCCAGCATTTTCAAAATGAAAAAGTTTAACTTCTCTCTTTAAATTTATTTTTTAATTAAAACATAAATAAATATTTTAAGAGAAATAAGCCTGAAATAGCCCTCAGATTAACCCTTGATGAAACAGAAAAGGAATGGGGATGAAAGCAGAGGGTTTTTTCCAGAAACAATTATCAACAAAAACAATGCATCAGAAAAGACAAACAAATCAGAAAAAGGGTATTTAATGCCCTGTTCAGCTGTCTGAATATTTTTTCCTTCTTGTCGGTTCTGCTGCTAAACTGAAACACCTGATATTTTTGCTGTTCTGCTCAAAACTGCTCCTGAGACCTCAGTTTCACCGCTGACCTTCCTTCTATCACCTCACAGTCTTTCTTCCTATCACTAGTGTAGGTTTTCACACTTTCACTCCTCTCCAAAAGGGGCCAAGGCGACTGCCTTCCTCACTGGAACAAGTGTCAAGGTCTTGCCATCTCACATAGAAAACTTTGGGTGATGAGTCACCCCCACCACCCGTGCCTGGAGAGCATGTTGGCTGCTTGCAACTGAGATGAAGGCCTCTTTCTATGCTGAGCCAGGCGCTATCCCCTAAGCCCTCTCCTCCCTTGCCAGCACAGGCGTTTGCACTGAAATTTCTTCCTATGACAATTAGCAACTAGGAACACATCCCCTTGTTTTTAAGTCAACAACAGTTACAATAACAAGCAACATCCAAATTTCCCCTCCACGCAGCTGTGCCGTGGCTGCAGGGGACCTGGGGCCAGAGGCGGGGAGGCTGCTTCTCAGCATCCACCCAGGTTTGCAGAGCAGGGGATGGGAACTGCACACCCTGAACTAGAGGCAGCTGCTGTTTTCAGTGCTGCAAGACATCTTTCTGTACGCCAAATCTGCAAGACAGCTTTATTATCCTGCACACAGATGAGCCTTTCAGCAGGTCCCAGACCCTCACCTCTGACGCTATTTGTCCCAGAGGTCGATTTGTTTTGGTCTCTGAGTAATGAGGGTTTTCTCACACCTCTAAGGTCTTGTCTTTCTTAACCTTCCCAGAGCAGTTACTACCTGAAACTCCAGTTGTAATCTCGTCCCCAGTTTGCTGCTCTGCTGGAGAAGACTCAGTCCTGAGAGGGGCCCCCCAAAACAGGCCCTCTTTCCTTATGAGTCAATAACAAGTTCAGGATACTTAGCAATTAGATCAAATTTGAAAGTGCAATCGTAGAAAAGTTTACACTTGTTTTAGAAAAAGTTAGCACAATTGTTTTTATGACATCTGTCTTTACAGCTTTATAACTTCTCAGTACATACAAAGGTGACAGGATTGCAGCCTCCAGTTTGGAGAGGGGGAGGGGAGAAGGGTGTTGTAGGGGTGTGGCATTTAAAGGTAGAAAATGTCTTTTGCAATTTCAAGGACTTTTCCAGTGGTGAGAATATCTTTTAGCGTCATGGGAAAGACATTGCCTTGTCCCATACTCACTTGTCAGCCACCTGGTTCCCTAGAGCACTAGAGAGGGAAATACACCTTCTACAGATATATCATATATAGTAGCATACTTTCTGCAAAGGCAGTGTGTGAACTGTGAGGGAAGGACTCTCCCATTCTAATCTTTCCCAAGCCTAGACTTGTTGACCTCTGAATCACAGCCTTAGATATTCCAGAGTAGGGTTTTTTTTAATAAAAAAAAGCCCAGAAACTAAGTTATACAATAGATAATGAAAATGAAGAAAAGTAGCCTTTTCACTTCCACTAATTAGCATACAAATTACAAGGACTACTGAACCGGATACCATAGGCATAAACTATGCGAAGATATCATCTGAGCTCAGGAAGGAATTTTCCATGCAAAAACCATGTCTTCTCTCTGTGTCACTGCAGAATGGGCTGTTCAATCAGATGCACCCCTAGCGTTTACTAACCCATGCTGGTCTGACTTGCTTTTCATGCCTCCAATGCCTACAATCAAAACCTCAGGGAAGGAGGCTGGAGGACCTGCTAAATAAAACATCCCAGGTTCAAGAAAAAGTCAATTCCATTTTCTTTAACCATCCTCTTATCCAACTCCCATTTGGCTCAGAGGAGACATTGTATTGACTCCTGCTTGATTTAGATGAACTCCACTAACAGCATAGGGGACGCAAATTTGGTAGTCCTGGGATGTACTACAGCTGAATCACTCATCCATTGGTGAAAACTTACAGCACCTTGGGAAAGAAAGGCCTTTGTGACACAGTCTGGAGAGAAAGGAATTTTAAAGCGGGGGGAACATGCAAGTCCCAAAGCATTATTTCAAGCTGTCTCTAAGAGAACAAGAACAGAAGAGAAGTTATTACTGTATTTGACATGTAATTTATTATTCCTCCTTTTCTTTTATAAAGCTGGATTTTGATTCACCAAGAAAAGTTAGTGACAGTCAATTATTCCCTTTCTCTTTCCCAGTTTCACTTTATTGTTTTGAGAAAGTTTAATTTTTAACCTTGCAATGATCTTATTGCAGTGTCATTGGAAAAGGAGAGTCACACAAGAAACAAAGGGTAAGAGGAATGAACTCATCCTGGGGATAGATTTCCCTAGAAGCAGGTTGACCATTGGGAGAACTGTTCCAGGGGTGGAGGTAGCAATGACCTTCTAAGGGGGGGATATTAGACCCCCTATCAAAACCTTTCCCCCTCTGTAACAAGGGTCTGAGAAAGGTGGGAGTGACACCGAGAGTGGCAAAAATGAATTATGTAGAAGGAGGTTGTGATGGCTTTCTGACCACTCACAGCATTGGATGGTTTAGGAAGACCACCTATCTCTCAAGATGCCCAAGAGCCTTAAAGAGTTACTAAACTTCAATTCAACATTCGAACATGGAAGAGCTGCTTTGAGAAACAGTACTCCTGGCAACCTGGGTTCACCCCTCAGTTTCTATTCCTCCTGGTTTTGGTAGGAACCAGCTTGCTGGAGGAGAGAATGAGGGAGTGCACGTAGGGGCACATGAGGCATAGGAAAAACGGGTCCAGGCATGCATGCTTCTCTTGTCATGCCTACAGACCTAGGACAACTCATGCAAACTGTGAACTTACCACCGCCATTCTTGTAGCAGAGGTATGGGAACCTCCACACATTACCCAGACCGATGATCTCCCCGGCCACAGACAGAACAAACTCCATTTTGCTACTCCATTGGCCTCTCTCTTCCATTTCTTCCTTTTTTATGTCTTTGGGAGCTGTGATGGCCCCATTGGGCTCTCCTTCCTTAGCTGCAGCTCTTGTCATGGCTCTGTGGGACAGAGGAAAAAGAGCATGGGACACAGGGAGCTGCTGTGGGACACACAAGTGAGAAGAAGAGGGAGTGCACCAGTCACCACAAGGGTTCCCAGTATCACTGTGAGGCTCCTCATTCTGTGGAAAATGGCTTATTTAGCATCAACCCCAGGTTATGACTATCATACAGAAAGCTTGTTCTGAAGGGACAGAGGAAAGGTCACTGGTCAGGTGAGATGGGCCCACCTGCACCACCCTTTCACTAGACTCACCCCGAATTCACCCTTCTTCCCTTCACAGCCCCCTTCCTCATCCTTCTCAGACCTTAGAGTACCTCCACCTGCCCCTTTGCACCCTGACTAAATCCTCTGCATCTCCATCGTTGCTGGAAACTTGGCCAGGACTTTGGAGACAGCATTTCAGAGGAAGAAAAAAAGAGCTGGAGCTGAAACAGAGCACAGGGGCAGAAGTAGTTCCCTTCACTGCGTGCTTTACACAGCAACTGCCTTTTTCTGGAATGGCTTCAGAGGGCAGGGTAGAAATGTTATGTGTGAATAGTCTAAACAAGAATGGATGAGCTACCATCTTACTTCAAGGAGTTGCCAGAAGTGCTGTCTTAAGCTCTCTGGACACCATGTCACACTACAATACAGCCTGCCACTTCAGCAAAACACACACACGCTTATTTGACCTAGGCTCCCTGCAACATGCACAAGCACCAAACCTCCACCATGACCTTCTGCATCATCCTAATTAGGCAAAGTTTGCAGCTGCCTGTTACAAGATACAATTTTCTATCATACACAAAGTCCTTTAATTGGCTAGTTAATTTAAATCCAGCCAAAACTCACACAGAGCAGACTGAATCTTCTTGCTGACATTTTCATATTGTTTGCAGGCATTTGATTATGAGAAGAAACTAAAGTGTGAAGAGAGAAAGCTCCCTTTGACTTAAGTAAAAAATACTTCTCAAAAGCTTGCTCTAATGAGTTACCCAAGGTAGAGATGCACGTGAGAGTCCAGCCAGAAAGTGCCGAGCTAATATGAGCAGGGTGGCTGATGAACTATGCCAGGGAAATCCTAACTGTAGCTACATCTTGCTGGTAGCATTACTGAGCAAAAGTTGGCCTTTGAAGGGGTGATTGGCATCAGCAAGGGATACACATTTCCATATTTGGATTAGGAAGCTACACTGGAAACAAGCCTCTCTAAAGCAGCAGCATCTCTGCTAAAGGCATCCATTCCCACCAGCTGCAAGTGCTAAGAAATCGGGGCTTTGCCTCTTCACATTAACTTACAGATTAGGTTTGCTGGTGGTTTGATAGGTTTTTTTAATAGCACATCTCTCACTCCCTCCATGCCTCCTAATGGAACATCTCCATCTCCAGGGAGCAGCAGGGACAGCATCTGCATTAACAGTACTTAACTCTTCTTAACTGTGCCCCCAGATCTGTTCTGGACCACATCAGCTTGCTCTGCCCCAGGCAAAGTCCAACCACGGCTCTGGAGGTGGCTCAGTCCAGGGACCTCTCCCAGTCAGCGCAATGAGCAAGACCTCACCATGCTTGATGCCCTCTACCTGATAGGACCACCAGATGTATCCATCAGCCTTTTGCACCAAGATGGTGCACCAAGACCAAGATGGCAAACCCATCCCTTCCTCCTTGTGCCTAGTCTCTCTCCAGTAATCTCCCTCTGGGTATGAATATCTCATGGGGATTAGGGTCCATCAGGGAGTCTGAGCTATCTAGGAGCAAGTATAGTCTTAACATCAAACTGTCCCAGTACTCTAGAAAGAGTG